TACAGGATATATTGATATTCAGCTGGACCACAAGTTTGCCCATGATTTGGAAAGATATGCTAAAGGTGGACAGACAAAGCAATTAAAATAGTGTCAGCAAATGTGATAAAGGAATTATGTTGTAATTGCCAAGACAATGAGGGTTCAAAGGTGTAGAGCCTCTAAAGGTACAGGGGAGGTGCTTGCCTTGAATAACATATAAACATATGTGACAGTGTAGTCCTTGGAGAAGCAAGAGAAGAGATGTTAGACACTTCAACAGTTCTTCAAGAAACACTCGTTGGATCTTCACTGTCTTGTCTATGAGATCATGGCCTTTTCATGCCTACCACTGATACTGAATTAGCTAAAATAAAATCTTCCTACTCTTTGCATGCAACTGATAGAAATATCTTGGTTCCAAAGACTTCTATAGAGTAATGTGGACTGATGTGAGTTGAATGGGGCTCTGTTAATTTAAGGCAGGCTTTAGTCCTATATGTTCAAAATTGGATGAATGGAAAGTTGATATTTATTATTAATGTCAGTGTAAAACAAAAACAAAACAAAAGACAAAGATACAGTCTAATTCTTTCTTTCAGGAACCTCATATGAGTGTTGATTTCACCATTTTTGAAAAGATAAGTATTTCTGGGAAAGATGAGTCAGACTAAGGGAAAAGTTTGGTTTTTCTTTGAAGACACTTTAATGTCCTTGATACTTAGAAATATTTCAGCAGGATCACATTCTTTTTTTCCTGAATTTTTTTCTGGAACCTGTAACTGAAAATACTGAAAATTTTTAGTCTAGCTAAACAATTTTCAATGCTGTCTAAAGACTACAGTTACTGTGTCTGTCTTGTCCACCATCTGCCAGAGTTTTGTATCAATTACATGAACTAAATAAAATACCACTACAATTTAATTTTATTTGATGTCCAGTCATTAAAAACCCTCCATCAACTATTCCAGGCACAGCTCCTGAGAACTACTTTTCATCAATGTCTTATCTCTTCCACCTTCTCCCTGTGTTAGTGTGATGGAATTTTACTTTAATTTTGTCACACTTATCACTCTCTGTTGCACATTGTTTTCTAAAATAACATTTCTGCCTACCAAATCCAAGTTTCCCAATTGTTTCAGGCCCTCTTCCCTTCTAGTAAATTCTACTTAGTTCCCTAGTTTGTCATATTAATCTCGGGCAGAGCTTTCACTCTGCCAGTATATGCTTCATTAACTAATTACCTGGAATGACTTCAGGCTCCTGAAAATTACTTGTCTCTTTAAGAGAACAGTTTGTACAGAGACTACAATGCCAGGCATTCACACACTTCTTCAGTTTTCCTGAGAAATACTCCGCCTGGAAACATTCTCCTCCTGGGATGATGTCTTTGTCATATAATTACCAACAATTTACTGCCTGCTTTTGCATTTTAGATGTGCAAGACCTCAGACTTTGGGTTAATAGAGAGAGTATTACTGTAACCTAACCAGCCCTGTAACTCCTGAGCACCACTGTTCAAACATAATAAGGTTGTTTCTTCTATCCTTTCTTTATGGTTCCATGATACCACCTAGATTTTATATAATTAGTAATATCTTTATAGAATTAAGTAAGACCAAGTGCTGCATAGTACCCAGACAAAAAGAAATACATTGCCAGCTGCTCTCTCCTTCAGCCACAGAAGCCGGTGTTTGTCCCATAAAAGACAGCTTAACAACTGTACTTCCTTTCCCAGCCTTCATTCATTCGTGCCTTGAAAACCCAAACCCTAACACTGCATTTCAGTGACAGAGGTCTTTACTAACCCACTTCATTTTGTTTAGGTTGGCCTGGTCCTGAAGACCATGCTGGTTTATAGCCTCCATTGCTTTCAGCTATTAAAGCAGAATAAAAGATTTCACTTTTTGCACCAGTGAGCTGCACCCTCATATACTACCTAGGCTAGTGACAGTCAGTCATTTATTCAGCAATAAAACTTACCCACTAGGAATTCCCTACATAACACTGTACTTCCCAGTCACTGGTAAAAAAAATATCTGGTAGCAATTTATAATAGTCATCAACAACCCCTCACAGTCAAAAGAGAAAAACTTCTGGTTTTATGAGAGGCTAAATACCATGTTTGGTTGCATTAATTCCTTATAGGCTCCAAGGAGAAATGTCTTGTTCTTTATAACTGCTGCCTATTTCAGTGCAGTTCTTACAAGTTACATACTATGTCTAACAACATAACTAGCACATATAGCACGAGTTTGTACTGGTAACCACACATCCATTCAGAATAAAGCCTACACATTTCAAGACTACACTTTACTGCTCCATTTGCACAGAGATAACTGTGTAATGGAACACAACTTCTGGGAGTTTTTATCTCACAGACCATTTGGAAATTGCACATAGTGTATTTCTAATCTTCAAAAGCAGACCAGTATCAGTAACAGGCATTTACACTTTTAGTTAAATATATGTTACTGAATGACATTTTTTTTAATTGCTTTAAAGATAATGCATATTTGTTAGTTGGGTAGCCAGTAGCCAAGAGCCAAAAGCTCAGGTGGACTTCAGGTTGTTATTTCTAGAACAGGACAGGGACAGTTATTACAATTAATCAGCAGAGGTCCCAAAATTAGTGTATCAGGGGATTGTATTTTAGGCTCATTGCATATATAACACCATATACCTAAACTGTAATAGTATAAATACTTTGGTACGGTAACCACTGATCGTTTTAAAGAGTGATTTCCATAGAAATATCTTTTTCCCTTTACGCACATTGCACACAGTGCCAAGAGCATTCTGAGTGTTAAGCACTGTGCTATTCAGCAGGTCCTCCTCATAAAATTAATTGAAAAAAGATATTTTCTTTCGATTTCATTCAAGCTGATTTAATTTAGCATACTAGTGGAAACATTATACTATTTTAAAATTATTTGATATAGCATAAACTCACATCTCCATTAATTTCTCTATATTTTAAGGCACCTTTAATTTATGACTGTGACCTTGACTTACAAAACTGGTTACAGTTTTGAATGCTAACACTATATTTGGGCATTTAAAATGTAAACATGACAAAAATTAATTATCATAGTAGCATTTTGAATACGCTGCTATTGTTTGTAGTATATTACATTACAGAAGAATTAGTAGGCAGAGTAGAAAATCAAAATAAAAAGCACGCATTAGAGATGAATGAACCAGATTTAGTGAAATACATTTTGACACAGCAGTTGTTTCTTGACAGTTCAATGAGTTTTACTCAAGGAATATCACTTCTGGCCATAATCTACATGCTTCGAGCAGTAATCTGCTTTACACACAACTGCTTTTTGTCTGAATTCATGCAAAGTTCGATAAGATATATACTTCTGATTTTTCACAGTTTATGCCATTTAATAGTGAATTCTAACTGTGTTTATGGAATATCATGCAATCAATCAGAAAAGCAAGTGTTTTCTTGCACTTTTGATATGTCCCTGGAGCAGCTTGAGCAGCGTCTGATCTTAATTACTTATTTTAAAAGGATATGGTGGTATCATTTTTATCATATTCATCCAGCCTCAAACAAAAGTGCCAAGTAATTCAACAGTCAGCCTGAGTTCCTTTGAATACCCTGTATAAGGGTTCTTCCCAAAAGAAACATCAAGAATTTAGAAGGAAGAAGAAATGTAGAAAACATTTTTACATTTATAAACATTAATTCTTAGCTCCTAGGTTCATTCAGCACAGATAAGAAAAGATGAAGTGTATCTGAGTTTTTGGGTCAGCAGATCACGTCATTGAATGCCATTAATAGGTGTATTAAAAGGGTAGCGAAGTCACTGAATATAATGGGGTAAGATTTATGCCCACACAGCAAAGAGGTTACTTTCTTTGCTGAAACTCAAAATGTCAGTAATTTTGGGCAGACAATTACTCTTAGAAGGTTCTGAACAATATACTTGAAACAGCAATTTGTTACTGAAAGGTTAAAAGAATTTCTGGTTCTCAATAGTATTTTTTCAACAATTTATTAGTATTGGACTAAAGCAGAAAGGAAATATTGCAAAGAAGCTGAAAGCTATATAAATTAGATGAAAAAATGATCATTCTGGTACCTTCTGGTTCATTCTAGTATATGTAGCTCAAACCTGAATGAGAATATGAAGCCTTTTTTTTCCAGCTGTAATAACCAGATAAATTTTATTTAGGAAAAAAAAATAGATTGAAATGCCTGGGAGAATTAACAGATCACATATTCAGAAGAAATAGGGATATTTTCCCCAATGATATGCCATGCAAATTTTTATCTGAGAGAGGAAAATAGAAGGAAAAAGTACTTGTCCTTTGTAAAGTCTGGGCCTTGATTAGTATGTATTTTGCTGTTGTATCTAATCTTATACACATGCATGAGGTATGGATAAGTGCAGGAGAATGAATATTGAAGCTGAGTGTTTTTTAATATCATTATATATCACATCAGTTAATATGAGAAGATTATAATCATTTGCTTTCCCATGTGTTGTTCCAGTTTCAGAGAAAATCAGTTTTTCAATTCAACTAATACTACTGCAGAATTTTAATTCATTCTTGTCTTTGAACAATTTGCACTTAACCATTCAAATTGACATAAATCCATAAACATAACTTTGACAATCCACATTTCACCTCAAGTAAAAGCAGGAAGAGATCTGAGTGTGAAGGGCCTATTTTATCCTTCATGGGCTGGGGAGAAAAAGATGTTCCCAAGCACACAAGAGTTTTGGATGTTTAGCTAATTTAAATGATTTTGTTGAATCCATTAAAAGACCATCTAATTATTAAGATTTAAAAGAGTTTCATAAGACAGCCATTTTGTCTCTTCCAATTCAGTGTGGTATAGAATAGCAGATAAAAATTTGTGATCAACGAGTATAAGCATGCCCTCTGTATTACCTCCTTTTTATAACATTTATTTTAAATATTTTAATTTGATATGTTACTGCTTTTCAAAGTTTGCAACTAACTTAGAGTTTATTTGGGTTTTTTCTTTGTTTTAGTTGGATACACAATGAATGATCTCATTTTTGAGTGGCAAGAAAAGGGAGCGGTTCAGGTAGCCGAAGGTCTTACTCTGCCACAGTTTCTGTTGAAAGAAGAAAAGGATTTATGTTACTGCACCAAGCATTATAATACAGGTAGGAAAGAGATTACAACTGAAAGACATTTAACATTTATTGTTATAATAAATGTCACAGTTGGGTTGTATTTTAAATGTTCTCACTGAATTCAGAAGAGGCTTAAAACACACAGGTGTATTGTGCAAGGTAATGCAGTCTTAAATAACTGGCAAACCAAAACTACCTGAAGACTGGACAAACTTCAATTTTTGGTACCTTAAGTAAATATAGAGTTGAAATAATTCCAAAACTGTTCAGTCAGGGGTTTTACTTATTCAGTAGGTGCCGTGACCCCATTTACAATGTGGGATCTGAAGCACTGCTGAAATCCAAAGGTCTACACGCTGTGCACTAATCATAGCCTGTCTCAGTCGGGAAAAAGGGACATAGCATGGCTGAGCCAAGCTGTTCCTGCCTTAATTCACGCAGCAAGGGGGCAACGTGAATGAGCTGAAAGGATTTTAGTGTGCAATGGCAAGGTGTACAAGCTAGACATGAGCATGCAGTGACAGGACAAGAGTGAATGGATTCAAACTGAAAGAGAGTAGGTATGAGGAAGAAATTCCTTACTGTGAGGATGGTGAGGCACTGGAACAGGCTGCATGGAGAAGTTGTGGATACCCCATCCTTGAAAGTGTTCAAGGCCAGGCTGGATGGGGCTCTGAGCAACCTGGTCTAGTGAAAGGTGTCCCTGCCCATGGCAGGGGAGCTGGAACTAGGTGATCTTTAGGGTCTCTCAACTCAAGCCATTCAATAATTCTCTAATTCTATAATTCTATGATACTGAATCATTGCCTTTGTTGAACTGAGGTATTTAGCTCATCTCTGGGATTATTTGAAAGTGTAGGGGATTAATATTAATATTAATATTAATATTATAGTTATTATATTTTTATTTTTAATTGTGAAAAACTATATCAATAACTGAATCACGAGCTTAATAATCCTGAAAAGCAAAGCCTAAGTTGCATAGTTTATATATTTTCTTGAGAAAAAAAATAAAAAGTTAAAGGTCTTCCATTCTAATCCACGTATCTTTAAATTCTTGCTCTCCAGTATGATTAAACATTTCTTAAAATTCAGCAGAATCATTTGGATTCTGCTGAAATGTCAGGGAGAAAAAATCAAATAGATGGTGTTCATAAGGCATGTCCTGCTACAATCAAAATTAAGGAGGAGTGCTTTCCAACACTGAGTTTTATCGCAACTGCAGTAGTGCCCTAAGAGAAGGGAAGGTTCTGTCATAATTTCCATTTAGAATAGGATGATACTGAGAGAGATATTTTGAACTGTTCCCTAAAATAAATTGGAAACACTTAACGTGCACTTCTGTTGTACAAATGCTAATATTTGAATAATCCTTAAAAACCTTCTAAAATATATGATACATATCCTATAGCAGAATAATTTTTTCACTCAGATATTTCTTCATTAATGATAAGATAGGAATTCCTATTTTTTCCTTTTTTCCTTTCTACCATAATCCTTATGACAAATAAGAAAATTTTATTTTCATTATTTTCCACTGTCTCCCTTGAAATATACAAGCAACTTACCCTTTTTTTTTAGGATTCTCCTGCTTTTATGCCATTTAAATGTGTCTGCAGTTGTATTCTTTATCCGGTATATGATATTAACTGATGAGAAACCATGATATAGAGTATTCTTCTCCTTTTTCTAATGTTCATTTGCATAATATGACGCATCAAAAACCTCAGAGAAATTGAGACATTACTGTGATGCTTAACCTGATACTGAATGGAAACCTGGTTTAAAATTTCAGAATTTCCAGTGATTTTCAAAGCCTCCATCCAAAGCTGAGTTGTACTCTTACTCATTTGTCTGAGAACTTACATTATAATCGTCAGAGTTTAAACCTTGTGTTTTTTACTAAAACTTCATTTTTTCAGTATTTTGAAGGCACAATATTTTTCTTCACAACCTGTTTCAAGCCTATTTAACCTGGTATTCATTTTTATCTAAGGAAAAATAGGAAAATATGCTATGCCTACACTAGACTAGGTTACTTGGGCTCAAATTGTATGTGCTGTTTGTTCACTGTGGCCCTAACCTGAGTGGAGAAGCAGGAGCAACAGATGTTATTAGCTGCATGGGAGGCCTCATGGCTCTCAAGATGTGGCTACAAGTGTGCTTGTCTCCATGTAATTCTGTCCCATTTAGGTGAGAAGAGGGGACAATAAGTCTAGAGGACAGTGTGGCCAGTCAGCAGCCTTTTGTATTCTGTATTGCTTTGGCCAAACTGCATTTCTGTGGCCAAACATGCTCTAAGAGGTGAGTGCAACCTACAGCCCTTGAAAGATGAAGATCAAGCCTGTACTGAAAAAGTAATTGGACCATTTAACTTGTCCACAAAAAAATCAAGGTGTTTGGTAACACAGAAACCTTGGAAGCCTGGATGCAGTTGGAGGATGGAAATGTTAAAAGATGTCAGCAAAAAATAAAGCAATTGCACAGCTGTGGGACCTGCCTGTGATGGGCAGAGGGGAAAATTGGGATGCTGATGCTGAGCAGGAGGTGGAAGAGTGTGTCTCACCAGAGGAAGCAGCTGAGTGGCCTGCTCTGAGTTACAGCACCAAAATTACAGGTACAGAACTTTGTCAGGGCAAAACAGAAAGAAAAGGTGGTTTTACCCATGTAGGACTACATTTATTGTGATAGTCTCTTCAAGATAAAAGTATTTTGTCCAAAGTATTTTTTTTAATTCAAATCTTCAGTATGAAGCAAATTAAACCAGATTAGGAGGGTTTGGTTTCTAGGAGAAGTAAGAACTCCTTTTAATTCTTTGTTACAACCAATGCTATTAACTACCATTTGTAGGCTAAAACCCCATAAACATTATATTAAAAGAGAACAACAACTATTTTCACTGTGTTACTTGGATACATCATCAGTAATGTGCTTTTTAAGGCTTCTGCAATGAGATATTGCAGGAAGATATGCCTTTAGGATACTTTGCAAGAACAAAAATTTTAAAAAGCAATTTTTAAAATATGATGTGAAGTCTATTTCTCTGGCCTATGACAGATTAGATAAAATGAATTCTTAAAATAACGCTAAGCAACTACAGCTGGTATGTAGTAAGCGACCAAAGAAGAGTTTTCAAATTAAATTTAGTTACAACACAGAATGGAAAGCTCTTCTGAGACATCCTGTAAAACAGAAAAAAAATCCCAAAATTCTCCCCGTGAAGCAAATTAACATGAAGCTTCAGGACAGTATGTGGAAAGTCATCAGTGCATGTCTCATCAGTGTTTCATGCCCAGTTGAAAATGGTTCACTGTAACCAGAGCTCAAAAAATAAACTGTGTCTAAATATAGAGATATAACAGTTTCAGCAGCAGTACAGCAAAATGGCTCATCAAATCTTGTGTTCTGAGGTGACACAACAACATTTCTGATAATTTTCATTTTTTGCATCCACAGGCATATGCACAGTGACCAATTTGGAAAGTGAAGTAGAATCATAACAACCAGAAAAATCACACATTAACCATTTGCATTACAAGGATGGTCTTGTTTGCCGCCTTCCTATGTGACATTAATTGCTTCCCTGGGCTATTATGCAACACCTAAATTTTATTGCAATCACAGATAATTTCAATCACAGCTGCAAAAAAGCTGAAAAAAATATCTAAATATACAGTAACATGAGTTTATGCATAATAGCATTGGCTCAGAGGCACAAATGAGTCTAGGCTTTACTCCTGTGTCATGGATAATGCTTTACACCCACACTTGAGCGATGCTGCTCAGAACTGTCTTAGGTCCAATAATGCCTTTTGGATCAAAAAATTGGATGTAGTGGTCCTTGAAACAGGGGAGCTGTGATTGCTGCCCTCACCACCTGGACTGATAAATTCTGTACATGACCATTTCTGATAATTGCAATCTTGATGAACAGCATGTTTCCTTAGCTCCACACTCCCCATCTGACTTCCTAATATGCACATCCCAAAAACAATTTTTTCTCATGATCCCATTTTTCCTCCCATAGCCAAAAAAGTTGCTTCACAAACTGTAGATTGTGGCCCTTCTAAGTCTCACCTTCGACTGACCTAGTGCCTTATATTCAGCCATTTTGCTGCCAGCTTGATGACAGTGATTAAAGGAGACATAACTTCAATGTCTTACTCTCACAACAATTCAAATCCTTACTTGTGTTCACAAACAGCTAAACCACTCTTTTTGAGACTATAGGAGTGATTTTTAAGATATTACTTTTTAACTCCCTCAGGTTTTTTTTCATAGACCATTCCTCCAAAAAGGAGGTTTGTACTTTTTACCCAGGAGATAGTCTATGGGTGTGAAATCTCTGAAGCTGCTCATTCCTTTGCTGAAAAAGCAGGAATTATAAACAGTTTTGTAAACAGTCTGTGGCAGGCTGAGGATGTGACCATCCCTAGATGCACAAAATGGCACTTCCTGACTCCAACAAGACATTTTTCTCAAGGGCAAAGAGGCCACAAATGTCAACCCTGCACTGATCAAAATTTGAGCATTCTACTTTAAAGATTCATTGAATAAAAAATTCATCGTCTGTCCTGGAAGTGGAAACATCACATCTAGATGCCTCCTTAGTTTCTGTGTCTCCCCTCTCTGCCCCTGCTAACACAGTGCAGCACATGACAAGTCTTTCACATCACAAGACTTCTGTTCAGCTTGACATCTCTCAGGCTCCCAGGCCCAGTAGACCTGCTGCCTACCCAGTCCACCCCCAGCCTCTATCAGGGCAGGGGGCTGCTCCATCCTCATCACAGAGATGTACATTTGTCTTTGCCTTGATGTTGTGCTGGGCTCTCCAGCCCACAAAGGTCCTGCTCAATGCAGCTCAGCTCTCCATTCTGAGGGACATGAGAACTGCAAGTGCAAATTTACCAATTTAACTTTTTCATATCTATTTTCAGCTGTCTTTTACTGCAATCATTATCAGTCTTACACCAATGTCAAGTTTATCACCTGCCTCCGAATTTTTTTTTTAAAAAAAAAGGAATGTAAAA